TGTGGGGTGCGAAACGTTGTTTTGGGCTTTGAGTTTTCATCCAAGGGCAACTGCCAAAACCCCGACAGCAGATCCAAGGTGGAAAAGAATCGCGCACCCGACAAGGCATACAATGAGTCATCCATCCGTGGGAGCGGGTAAGCATCTGCCACGGAGACCTTGTTAAGTTTTCTAAAATCCACGCAAAATCTCATACTCCCGTCCTTCTTCTTAACCAGAACGATGGGCGCACCTCAGGGACTGGTGGATGGAGAAATAATGTCGGTGGCTAACATCTCGTCGACCACCTGACATGCGAACCCGACACGGTCTGTGATGGAGATGCCTGAGGTGACTGTGTAGGCTGGGTGTGTGATGCACTGCGACTCCTCTTTGGGCTCAGAGGAGCGGAGGTCGGCGGGGTGGAGAACGATGGAGGCACGACGAGCTGTCCCGGCTCGGCGCGGCATCCTTTGGAGACGTGGCCCGGGCAGGCCACATTTGAAGCAGGTGATGGGCGCTTTCCACGGGGAAGAGACCACCTTCCCCTGCAGTCTCTGCTCCTGCCGCCATCCCACGTCAGTGCTCGCCCGCTGACTCCCCTCCAGCGATGCACAAACTGGAGGGGACTCCTTTTCCTCCGGCTTTTAAATGTCTCCCGGCAGTCCAGCACACGCAGCCACTCTGACTCACCACCGCAAATTACAGTGCGCCTGGATACAGCGCGTTACCCTAAGAGATGTTAGGTTGCAATTTTCTGTGGCGGGCAAACAAACGTACATGTCCCATGCCAATGCCAACAGTCATTCTAGAACCAGAGAGTCCAACCCTGCCTGATCCATTTTAGGGTACGCCGCTTGGCCCGGCAACATTAACGTGCTGCGGAAGGTGAGGGGCATTTCGGCTTCCCCCTGTCTCCGCATGGCAAACTTCTGTCGCACGTTGGACGCCGGGTCAAAAATATATGCCATCTGCGTGCACGCAGTTGTCAACGTTGTCCTCTCGAATGGGGGAATCACATTAAAAGCCGTCAAGGCATCGTCATCTAATGTTGTAGGCAGCGCACACAGCGCCTCAGCATCAATCCAACCAGCTAGATAATCTTCTTTAAAGGGCTGCCCAATCGCCTCCAGAGGCAGCGAACTCCCTTACGAAGGGCAGCCGCTTCCCCAGGGTGGGCACCTCTGAACGCGAAGCCGGCGGCACGGCAAATTTGGCGGGAGCGATTTCCCGCCCCGCCGACAAAATGGCAGCCGCCTGCACGGGCTGCGGCTCCGCGGCTTCCCACATCTTGGACCTTGACATTAATTTAACTATTCTTTTCCTAACTAGTTATTTTCCGACACCAAATGTAGTGAGTCATTCAGAGACACTATTTAGGAGGCAACAACGTTTATTCTAAACTTTACGCAACACCTACACACAGGACTAAATACACCTATTTTTACTCTTGTTACGCATAGGACCACAGTACACCTATTTATCTTGCATACGGGATAACTATAATCGGGTTAGAGCAGACAACGTGCTGCCTGACCCACAATGTCGAAGATGGGGACAAAGACATAACGTAGCACTTGGGTTCCACTTCACCTGCAGACAGCCCGGATCTGTGATCGTGGCTTCCCTTTTATCTCTCTTGGCGCGGCCTGGCTCCACCCTCGGCCGCGCCCTACATCCAGAATATTCTCGACGTTGCCAGGCTACACCGCACTTGTTCCCTTTCTGGCTCCGCCCTTTAACTATGCACCCAGCACCATGCTTCTAGTGGCCCACTGAATGGTACTGCATGGTGTGTTAGTCTCTGCGCCTGTTTCAACGGCACTTGGCACTACGTGCCGTAGTGATCCATTTAATATCACTACACATATACTTTACAATGTGAAGATTATAATTTGTATTGGATACATTTAGAAATGTGCTTTAGCTTCTTTCAGCACTTTCACCTTGAACTTGATGATGGCAAGCCATACACTACTATGCATAATGAAGACTATTTTCATTCACTGCATTTTCCCTGCTATGACATAGGGATCAGAAACCTGGACACTGACAAAGAAAATGGAATAATAGCTGACAGGTACACAAAGAAGTGTTGACAGGTGCATGTTTAGAATTGCACTGAGAGACAGAAAGAAAAAAACACCATGGATCAGAGAACAAATACAAATTAGAGGCATCATATTGACTGTTAAGAAAGTAAGTGGGCTTGAGTAAGACTCATCGCTTGAAGGGATGATTGTAATCAGTCTCGATTATAAGAATTATTTAGTGTCAGCTGAAGGAGGGAAACATACCAAACATCCCAAGAGTACAACTACTGTGAAGGTGGAGTAATAAGATCAGCTCACATGCAGGAGCTATATGGATTATTGCATCACGAGACCATGAGAGATGACGACAATTTGGGGAATTATTTATCCAGCAGTGGGTAGACCATGGCTGATGATGATTATGACTCTCATCTCTAGCAAATTCATAATTTAGCATAGTTAGCATAATATTTACCCCACGAAGTTTGCAAAGCACCATTGTTTTCCACCGCAAGAATGATGAAGGGTACATATATTTCTGGATTGCTAGTTATGATTATAAAGTATACATTACATTTGTTGGTATATAACGTGTAATACAGTTTATAGAAAACAATGTACGTGGATGCTATGATGTTGGAGATTTTTAGTTACCTGCACATAACTTAACGACCTTATTCAGTGGTCAAAGAATGCATTAATTTGTTTTATGAATTCTTACGAATTTTTATTTTATTTCCACATGCAAAAAATGTATGGTAAACTGTGATTACTTTAAAACTTGTGTTTTCACACGGTTGAACCCAGTTGGTGATTAGAAGATTATAGATTTATGTTTGGAATCCCATGAACATTCCAAATATATGTATGTGGGTTAGAAAGATCAAGATGTCAAAAGAACACTCTTTTCAGCAAAACAAACGAGGCAGCTTTGTGGATTGTGGTCTTTTTGTATTCAATCATAAACAGTACCAACGCACACATAGCTTGCCTCCAAACAGCTCTATTCCAAACAAACTTGCCTCGTGGGGTGATTTAATCTATAAATATTTGAAACCATTTTCAGTCATGTTGGAACGTTGCTACGAAAACCAAAATATAACATTTTTTGAACAAAGTCTTTGATCTGCACCGTTCTGTTTTACAAGGTGCCATACGAAAGCCATTAGTGCTCTGCACGATGATCTGAGATGGACTTTTTAGAAATGACGGCAAGATCGCAAGTGCAATTGTTTAGATGTGTGCATTCACGTGGTTTTAATCTCTGAATTACGAAGGATTCTTACGTTGTTGCCACATGTGAAATGAGCAATATTATTTTGTATATATACAGTTCTGAACTAATGCCTTTGATAGCTCAGGGACAATAATTCCTGGAGAAAATCTAAATAATATTCTGCTAAATCCCATACCTTGTTGGAGTACGGTGGAGTACGATGTTATATTCAGAGTGATCCATGTCTTTTTAAAATGTATTTCATAATAAAGTCATATCTACATTTGACACTGGGTACAGTTATACAATCTTCAGATATACATATTAAATGCTCTACTCAATTGAATATAAAGTAAAGGGGCAACCCTGAAATTTCTTTCTGATGCCACTGCTAGCGGAAGGGCCTCCACAATAGTGACTTATAGAGAGCTCCTATAAAGGGTATTTGGACTATTCTTCCACATTAGCGCACCTTCCATTTGCATGGTTGGATGCGTACGGTGCGAAAGAAGTTCATCATACATACATATTTTGAAGTGGTGGGAGTACTTACACATAATCCCACCACAAGTGACCTGCCGATCGACTAACTGGTGTTCCCATGTATGTGGATTGGTGGACAGAGGTGGGGGGATTTTACGAAAATCTTTTACATTTTAAGTCCAGTGTGCTCACACGATTGCAGCAACCAATTATTTGAATGTAATGAAGCCTATTTTATGGGGGTTTGTTGAAACATGTTTTGCTTTCATGTGGAAGGCAACTGTGAACATGCCTCTTTTTATTTTTACCTATAACATTGTCTCTACATGCTTATGATAGTGTAAAAAGATTTGAAAACTGCCAAATTAGTAAACATTTTACAGACTAAATGACCTTGCATTGAATAAATGTTTCTGAATACTGGTTAGAAATGTAATACACATGTACTTTAGGATTTTTTTAACAATTGCTTTCACATTACACATTTTTAATAAACTTTCTAAACAATATTGATATATGCTTATACATAAATTGATTCATAAATTACACTACCAAAATTCAAATTATCTCAGTTACATATATCCTATTTCCATACAAAACTATTCAAAAGGGTTGGCAAGAACCAAACTTGAGATTAATGTCTAAACTGAGCGTTGGGCTTGTAGAACATTCAAACATTTCTTTCATGCCTGGATCAGGCCATTGCGTGCAGGGGGTCACTGAAGGTATGTATTGGTTAAGTGGGGGTTTCTTTAGTTCAACCAGGGACATACAACTTAATGGATACCTGTATGCATGCTAAGAATGTTTAAGAAAATACTACTTGGAGGATAACAATCAGATGCTACTGATGAAGATGTTTTAAACAATGTCAGATAAGCATTTACAAATTATTTTGAATTGTTTTTAAATAATTATCTTCACTTCCCTTTCATTTGTATAAAACATTTTTCGCAAGTGAAATGCTGGATTTTCAACAAAGCGGATTTTTATATAAATACAAAGTGGTTTTATTTATGGTTGTTCACGAGTAACACAGTCATAATGTTTATTAGTTCTTCAATACACGTCTTCAACTGTGGCATACTTGGCAGCGCCTGCATTTTAGTTAGCGATCCTTAGATTGGTGAATTAAAAACGAATTCTAATGTGTGTGCCTATTGTGACGGAGATAATTTCAAGGTATTCATGAATGCAAAGGAGACGGAGACAAAGCCGAGTTTATTTTCACAGTAACCTGCTTAAGCGGCAATGATCGATTACACCCTGTGTCTGTGGTCTTCCTTTAGGAACTGACAAGTCTTAGTGAGTTGGACTTGCGCCTGTTACTGAGCAAGTGCCCAGGCTGGGAGGAAAACTCGTCTTGTGAATCTACGCCTTGTGGTACCGCTTCACCGAGACTGCCAAAGGCAGTGTTCACAAAGCTCTGCCATGAAGGTCAAGGGAACATAAGTGTGGCAAGGCACTGTGGTGAAGAGGCTCCAGAGATGAATTCCAGTGGGGGCAACCTGCATGAGGTGCTTTCAAAGAGCGAGCAGTCAGACAACATGACACCTCATCTTTCTGAGCAATCAGAAGATGGGGTTGAGACTAACGATTTGGAGAGCTGCGACAGGGAATGCTATTACATGAAAAAGGCTCTGAAACTTAAAAGGGCTAAAAAACCTCTCTCTCCCAGTAATCCAAATTGTGGCCATGACAGCATTTCTATGCAATTTGAACCGAGAGATGAAAGCACTAACGTTCAGCAAGCAGACGGGGGAACATTGAGTCTCCAACTGGACCGTGATCAGACAAGCTTGAGCGAGTCTGTTTTTTCAGACCTTTTATAAAGAAGGAATGCAGGGAGGATAGCGAAGGAAGTAGAATTCCCAGAGCCACATTTCTTTAGAGACATTGTGTATTACAGACCTTACATTGGTGAAATATTGATTTTTTTTTTCACAGACATGTTTTTTTCTCATGCATAATTTAACAAATTATTTGTAAAATATTGCTTCGTATTTTTACTTGAGTTAAAGAATTTCCTTTTGCAATTGGCCTTGGTTGTTTTTCTTACATTTTCAAAGGGTACTCTGTGGAGTAAATGTGTTTTATGTAAATACAGAAAACTTTGTTAATGTTTTAAATATCCATGAACTACCACATTACAAAATGAAAACATTTCAGTAATGAATATTTTTTTACATAAACATTTTTTGCCATGGGCTCATGGGATTCACAAGCCAATTAAATTACAACTGGTCATGATTTATATTTAAAGGGAATTCCAGTGACCAATGGCTTGTGCATTCAAGGTGACGGCGTCACGACATAAATGTCTCAAATTTAAGTGTAGCTAAGCTCAAAATTAAGGGCTTAGATTGGAATGTTCTATTAAATATCCAATGGGGTTTTTCTACGATAATAAGAGTAGAAATTTTGCACGAGCAAGCAATTCTTGACGAAAACAAATTGGCGTCTTGTTTATGTAATTTACAAATCATATTATTCTTTCTGGCATATATGATTATAAACTGCTAAGTTTACCATCCTATGTGGGTGATTATGTTATTTGAAAGTCTTAAGTGAATGTAAATATTGTTCGATTGTGTGCCGATCTCATTTTAAAGGCATGAAATGGAAATAGTCAATGTGGGTGTTTCGTACGCATCTGCATTATATGTTGTTTAATGTATACTGGGGTAAACCACACTTCTACGGATTAAGCTCCTGAAGATAATTAAGATTGTGAAAGAAAGTCAGTCCTTTCACAAGACACAAATATGAACTTGTCCATTTTCTGTACAGCTTTCCCTTGACTGAAAATAATTCTGACATGGATAATTATTCAAAATGTTGTTATTCTGTTGTACGTATTAAAATTGAAGACGTCGTTGTTTATTGACAAAATATAATAAACATTGCATATTGAGCATTTTCGTAAAACTTCACAAGGGATTTGAATTTGAAACAGTGAGACATGCAAAATGCTTATGACGCACCAACAATTCCAGAAATCTCTTTCTAATACAATTCCGGACAACCTAAATCTACCGCCATTCTTATTTGACACATTTATATTTAACAAATGTGGATGGATTAAACAGATTATAGTAGCTAAAAGAATGTTAATCTGATGCAATGTCTGATATAACAAAAATGTACTGCATCAGTACACGTTAACTTTCGTCTCCTGTGCCACAGAGATGGAATTCAGTTTTACCCTTTGCTTCAGTTTTGATTAATATATAAAAGATAGGAGAAGTTTGTATTCAAAATCTTCTAAACAAACTATTGTTTGGACTGATATCTCTTTATGCTACGCTCCTGTGTGTAAAATATATAAGTCAAACAAAACATGAAGGGGTTTTGAGCTTTTTATCTCCTCCGGATGTACTTCCACAGACATTCCTACAGTATCTCATCAGCACAGATGGAGGTTATATCTGATGGCTGTGCTGTCAGTCAGGGGTCCAAGCTTGAGAACCAAGCGTTTAGGCTATGGAGGTCAATTCTATAAGGGCTGACAGCTTTAATATTTTATTAATTTTTGTGTAATAAAACTTTTTTAACGTACAGGTAAACCGTTTTCAATAAAACGTTGGAATGCATCGGTTAAGGATTATATGGAGACACTTAACATTGAGGCAAAGTTATAGCTACCTACTTTTATCGACCAAGGATACTTCACTTCACCGATTATTAAGAATCTATCATTGACTAATTCACATGTCAGTGTATAGTGTTCAAAGTTGTTATTTTAAAAAGTAGTTCAGAGGTTATAGGGTCACATTTGCAGATTGTATGTTTACCATGCAGTCAACCATACTAGGAATAAAAATATCAACTGTGGATATTTTTGCAACATAGATAGAGGCAATGATTAAGTTAATGCTGACACAACTCAATGTACTGGATACTCTTAATACACATGAATGGATATATACTTTGTAGCATAATTGAACTTGTATAATGTAAAAAAAAAACTAAATTTTAAGCTATGTTCTTAGTTGACATCAACAGGATATTTTTGTCTTTTTCTACATAACACAAATAAGGCTTGTCATCAAGTTGGGCACGCTTCGCTAGCAATCATATTTAATTATATCATACAGCATCTTGAGCAATGTATTCTTTTGCAAGCATATTTCATCAGATGATGTAGGAATAATTTGATAATTCAAGGTGAGTCATGAAAGATACAAGTTGTTTTGGCTGGTCAGTTAAGTGCGTTACATATTGCGTTAGCACAAATCATTGTTGATTGGACCAGTATTATCCTCAACTTGCTCTCACTAAATTCTGGCAGCAATTCAAAGTAATCATGCCATGCTTGCACACTCCCCGCATGAGACATATTTGTTATGTTAAAATGTGCCTGTAGGCTGCACAGAAAACCAACTAGATGTTCTCATGGTACAACCCAGACTCATTAAATTAAATTTCTTAATTTTCAAAAGTATTTTTATGATGGAACTAAATGTGAACATTTTGTGATTCGATCAATAAATATATTTTTATTTTACGTGCCAATTTCGCCCTCAAAAAAGTAGGCATCAGTGGACGTTACAGCAGAAAGGGAATTGTACAGGGGCACATGGAGTGAACAAAACAAACCCCTAACGACCATGGCGGCAAACACCGACTGAGCAAAGTCGATCTCAACCGCGCGCAAAATAAAGGGCAACCGTACGCCACGAATAGCATGAGAAAAGTAAGTGGAATAGTATTGCACAGACCAGAGAATTGAGAGACACTCGGCGCATTTTGGACGTGCGGTGGCAGGGTGTTCCAGATGTTTGGGGCTGTGCTCGAGACGACTCCGCCCCTCCAGCATCGGGGGAAGAATCCTGGAGTGGTAAAGTCTTGCCGTTCCCGTGGAACGGAGTGTGGTGGATGTGCCTGAGGATTAGAGGGAGCTGCGGTTTTCCAGGTAGTTGGGTCCAAGCATTATAGCGTCCGTTGATTATCAATGGAACGCACGACATTGAATAATATCTTCACATTACACTAGACATTGAATATAGTGAATATATGTCAGCACCAAAAATGTATTCTTAGTGGAATTAAGTAATCTTTACGAGCTATCCCGGATAAAGTAATGGAACATTTTCACCTGATGACGAGTGCTTGTGTTGCGATCGAAACGTCGTGATATTAGTATTGGTATTAATTTTATCATTTTTATATATACGTGGCTTTACCGAAAGACCCAAAGGATATCATAGTAAAGGTCTAACCCTACAATTCCTTGCATATGCCACTGGTGACAAAAGGGCCTACACCAGAGGGAGCGCTAGAGATATTTGGGCTACTCCTTCATGCTGACTAGACTGATGCCACTGCTAACGGAAAGGCCTCCACATTAGTGACCGATAGAGAGCTCCAATGGGTCTTTGGCCTACTCTTCCACATTAGCACACCTGCGATTTGCACGGTTGGCTGCATAAGGTGCGAAGAAGTGGGTAGGCCCAGACGTTTTCCCAGCACACGTGACCCGCCGACCTGGTCTACCGATTTACGCTTCTGGGTGGACAGAGTCGGAGGCGTTTAAGAAACTTGCGCTGTCGTTGCGCCAGGAGATCAAACCAGTAACCTCAACATTTCAAGTCCAGTGCGCTAACCATGACGCCACGACAGCATCCAGCATAACGAACCTCTTGTGACGCATACATTTATACAATGATTGCATTACAGGTCATGTCAATACAAGTGGGGAACGCGTAAAGCAATATGTTATAATTCACGAAATGTCAAGTGCGTACAGACCAGTGTGATAATTTCCTGTCAAATTTGGCGAGAAGTTTCCATGTCATTGAGAGCTCCAGCTCTTCACGCTGCACAGTGATGGTGACACCGTGTGCCTCAACGTACCCTGTACATATTGCATAGGGCCCGTGGGGACATACATGTCTGGTCTGAGTGTGACAAGGACTTGGTGGATGTAATGCCATAAGGAGATATGGGGTGTTGGCCTTAATAACGTACAACATGTTTGAGCTTGCAGAGCTAGGTTTTCTGACAAATGTGAAATGACATTCTCTTGAATAGTGTGAGGGAAAAATAACTTTTTTTCTCTCTCACATCGGAAACCTCCCTAAGGGTGTTCTGGGGCACTTGCATGTGGAGTGGAGTTTTTTTGGAATGGAATTTATTTTCCTGATAATTCTTGGTCAGGGTAAAAGTGCAGGTCTGCAATTGCTTGCTCACACCATTGCTGGCTGAAGGGCCTCCACTAGAGTGAGTGTAATAATCGGGCATTATTACACTCACTCCTCCACACTGATCAGACATCTTAGAAGAGGTGGGAGGACACGCACACTTTACCCAACCACAGACAATTTGCTGATTGACTAACTGTGGTGTACCCATGTATACTGCTGGCTGGACAGGGGTGGTGAGGGGAGATTCAAGGAGCTTGCACCATTGTTTCAACTGGCACGCTGTGAAGTGGAACCGGCGACCTCTGGAATTCGAGTGTGCTAACCATTACACCTTTGCAGCATCCATGATAATCATTGACACATTCTGATGAGCACACAAAGCAGCATTGCAATAATAACCTTTTTTATTTATGACGGCCTACAAAGTATGCATTTTACAGAAGTGAGACCGATACAAAATTAACCATCATAGTTGAATACAGTATTGAACAGAAAAGAATGTTATGCTGTGCAAAAATGTTTTTACTTGCATTAAGAAGATATAAATTACTTTTTTCCTATCTACACATGTCCACTAGATCTTAACAAAGCATTTGTTTATTGTAGGACAGAGATGAATGTGTTTAGTTTGTTGTCCTTCCCCTGCACCTCCGATTAGCACAGTTGGCTACGTACGGTGCGAAAGAAGTTAAACATACGTATTGTCTAATAAAAATAACAAAATTCAGGTTTTGAAAGAGACTATATTTACATGACACTTAGCTCAAAGCCCTTATATTACAGCAGCTTCATTATTGGCAAAATGAAGATATTCTGTACAGCTTAGTTAATGTTATTCTCAGGCGATGTATTAATCCAAGCTCAGAATTTGAGGTACTCAATATATTGAGATTGGTCAATTTGCAATGTAGTCATCATAGAATGGGAACAACCAAGATGTAAATCTTTGAAGAGTAAAAATTTGGAACAAATGTTGACAATTGTACCTCTAAACTGTGCGTGAAAGAATTTGCGTTGCATTTCACTGTGGAAATTGTGTACAGAATAAAATAAAACTGATATTTTTTTGTTACACACGATGTTTAATGACAAATGCTTATGCGACGTTTTATTTAACCTAAAAAAAATACTTAACGCAAGTCCAACAAAAATACATAACCATTCAGTAAAATGCAATCAAATAAAATGTTAACTTGGAAATAACGTTAATTGAATGACAAGATATTTCTTTGTTCCATGGTCATTAGAAATACAGCTCCATAAAGCACTAAGTGTTAAAACATTTCAATAAATAACATATTTACAATCTCATTCCTTAAAAAATGAAATTAGCATTAACTCTCATACTTTGCCACAATGTGACCCAATGAAAGGTCTCTTGTCTTTATAAAAAAAGGCGGAAAATAAATAATCTAATACAGTAATTTAACAAATAACAAAAAATACCTTTTTTCTATCTACAACAATCGCATCTTCCCACAACATGTTCATATAGTTTATTTTCATACCTACACTATGTACTGGTTTGAAAGCTTCTATAAGAGTTTACTGAAATATCAAGCAAGATTCCTTCCAAACGAAGGCATTTAGGTAAGCACCGCACGAGTTTAACCAGTACTTTGCTTTAATTTAACAAAACCATAGTAGCCCATAGCGTACACTTACGAATACATGTTACCCTACAATAACCAACATGAGACTTTGCTGTGCGTGAATACTGGTATTAACAATGCATAACCATTCTCGCAGGAGCGTACTTCTGTTCTGTGCATTAACTAGTGTAGTACAAAAGTGTTTGGAAGCCTTTCATTTTTGACCGGATGTCTCATTATTTGGTACGTTTTTAGGTGTAACGCGTTTTTTTTTCTTAGACGTGCCGACTTTTGTTAATGTTACGAGGGCGCTTCTTACATAAATCGTACTTTAAAAAAATAAATATCTACAATGACTTTTAATACCTTAAAATACTACGATAATACAATTGTGCTAAACTGCTGTGCATAGGCTTGATACTGAAACATTTTCATCAACGTATGCACACAATTGTGTTTCACAAACTATCTGTCGAAAAAGCCTTTGGAAAATCTCACTTTCAAGTGTCTACACTTGTGCATTTCACCCATGATCGATAAATATATGCTTATAGTTATTGATTCATTATATCAACATGGACTTTGATAAAACAGCAATTGGGAAGTTTTTGTTATCCTCAACTCTATATTGTGAGGTTATGGTAGAATCGCAAAAATGTATTGGAATAGTTTTGAAAAAAACTTGGGGCAGGTGCCAAAGCTGAGGCAGAATCTCTGAAGAAGAAGTTGTTTTCTCTCCAAGAAATGCAGATTCTTGTCTGAGATAGATGTTTAGTTCCGGAGCACTGTAGACATTTTATAAATCTGCAAAGAAAACATGGGAAAATAAGAATTAAGTTAGACATCACATTCCCAGTTGGAGACCAGTAATTGTCTTGGCTTTAGTAATGTGAATGGAAAAATATTGGTCCAATGCTCGCATGTCTTACCTCGACATTCATACTTGAGATCTGAAAAGTACACCATCTCTTGGGAAAAGACAAACATTCCAAGACGACCACCAGCATAGGTTTTGTCGTAGATGGGTCCCGAATCGGCCATGACCTTCTTTCCTTCGTACATCACAACTCTGGAACAGAAAAATGTAATGCACCAAATGTCAGTTTCTGTAATGTGCATAAATAATATGGCCACTATTTTGTAAATGTGTATAAGTGTTGTCACTTTAACGTCACATCATGGTCTTAATATTTTAACGTGAATTTTACCGAATGAAGCCAGTCTTTGGCCGGTGAGTGAGTTGCCATCTGTAGGCAGTGAAATCCTTCCACCCGATCACCTTGGGGTCATGCCACAGCAGACGAACCTACAAACGAGGGAAGGGATTGACAATGAAAAAAGGAAAGTTTTAAAGCACGTGAAATGCTTTTACTTTTATCAAGCTTGTACTTTTATGAATTCTGGATAATTACTATTCATATTCATATTGTCATATTGCATTGCACATTCACAAGAAGGGAGTCCTAAAAATGCATGCAATATTAATGATACAGACTCAAATGCTACATATGACAAGCCTACGGCTTTATTATAAAAACTTACAAGACAACAACTTGTTAACATTTTTGAAAGCGAATGACGAAGAGCCTTGTATTCTACAAGACTAACTTATTAGAAAACTCGCTGATTAGTCGCTGCAATTTCCAACGAGCCTTCTTAACTTCCACTTCATCCAAACATTTTAATCATTAAATCCACAAGCTGCTTTAATAACAATGCACAATGCATATATATATGAATCCCACAAGCCAGTGCTAAGCATGAACAAAAATATGCGCGTCTTTTCTATGAACATACCTGCCCAGGGGTGTTTCCAGTGTGCCACAGGGCATTGCGCAGATGCTCGCCGGGACCGGTCGTGGAGTTGACCACCTTGATTTGCAGCCCGGCATAGCCTTGGGCGCGCGTGGGCGTGTTCTGCCAGTATGTCTGCGTGATCTGCTTCCACATGACCACGTAGAAGCGCGCGCTGGACTGGTAGCCGAAGACGAAGCCGGCGTAGTCGTCGTCCCGCTCCGTGTTGATGAAGAAGGTGCCGCTGAAGTCCACCGAATTGAACTCGTCGTAGCCTGCGAGTCGAGAACATGTCTTTTGTTCAATACGAGCATCTCGCAAAAGAAAAGAGCCGACTTCATTCAGGATGAAGCCCTTGGTTTCTCACATATGACAAGGACTTGTTCTACTAGACTGACTGTTTTGGCTCGCCATCGAACAAAGACGGTCACTGCATCGCACGCTTTCAGATGCTCTTCTGCGGCCATCTGGAATGCTCTTCTTTTTGATATTAGGAAGCCACTGGAGCTACGCACTTAAAAAAATCTAGAATCAAAACTAATTTAGAACTGCTTTTTGTGTTTAGTTTGTTGTCCTCCCGGACCTCTGATTAGCACGGTGGGCTACGTACGGTGCAAAAGAAGTTCAACATACATGCTGTGATTCCACCACGACACTGCAGATCACATCACTTCTCTTTCTGCTTCGTTCCTCATGCTGTTCGACCGTTACTACTTATAAGATACATTTTCATTGAAAACGTAAACTATCACATCCCATTGCCATCCAAAGTGTTGTTGAAACAAAATTTTACACGATCATGATAATTACTGGCTCAATTTCTCACTGAAATATTTTTGGAGTTGCCGGTAAACTGGAGTAGCCAGAGTCACGGCAAGAGGTATTCTGGATGTGGAAATATATTCTGCGTCACCGACCCATTTGCAATTTAACCCCCTCTCCTCCCTCCACGATTTACGCTGTTGTTAATCACAGCGCAAGCAAGGAGCTGCCCCGTGCGGGTGACTTTGCAGGCACTCACCGATAGCGAGACCTGGATCGCAGTTGACGGTTTGCACCAGCTCCTTGCCCTGGTGCCTCACCACCCAGTTGGGGTCGATCTGAGCCGTTCCCTTCGGGTCGAGCGGCACCATCTGGAACTTGCGGAAGTCCGTGAAGGTGATGCCAGAGTTCTCGGGGCACACGTCGTCAATGTCCAGAATGGTGTCGTTGTCAAAGTCGTACTTGCACGCATCACCACGGCCATTGCCTGGACCGACAGAGAGAGAGAGAACAAGAGGCGGTTGGTTTTTGAGAAAGCTTCCACAAATTAGCGTATTATAAATAGTATTATGAACTCATTTAGGTAGCTACTGCTTAATTACCAAAAGTGAATGTTTTCCAAATATGTAAGTGTCCCTTTTACATATATACTGATGGGCAGATGTTTGGCAAGCCATATCAGGTGGCTATAGAGAGCTTAGAAGCCATAGTGGTCTGCTTAAATTGACAAATTCTACTCAAGCTGTGTTGTATACAAACCACAATCTCTACGTACATATCACCTTTTCGTAATCAGAGTAGCACAGCTTTACCCATCATTCAATAGTACAGGAGCATATCACACCGCAGAAACTCAACAATGGCAATGTAATAAAGCAGGAGGATACGCAACCTTATTTAACCTTATTTACACGATGAAGGAAATAAAATGACACGTTAGGAGAATGAGCCTGGACAGGATCCAAGACTTGGCAATGCAACAAATACTTGGCAGGAAAAAAGGAATAGAGGAACACGGAAAACCAGGCGGAGATCTGCAGCTGTAAAGCGATCCAGAAAAAAAGGGATTGAGATCGAAATAAGCAGTGACACTGGGCTCAAGAAGGAACATCCACAGGGCAAATTTGTTCAGCCCCAACGCCCGCCAATGAGCTAAACTAAACTATACTAAAGTATTTATATTTTACCAGGTAAGGACCTCTGAGCTATATAGCTCTTTTTATCATAAGTGACCTGGCCGCAAATGATAGCTCAAGGAAGTGGGTTAACATGTGGCAATTTATAACAGCCAAATACTCTAAACACACGTTTACAAAATGTGGAGGGAAAAACCGGAGGACCCGGAGAAAAGTCCACGCGACCACGGGGAGAACATGCAAACTCCAAATATACAGCAGGCATCAGGCAAGGTAATTAACATCTCGCCACGTCGTGCCCTCTGACGAAAGTGTCAGGTTTCCGTTGTGACAATTGGTGCATCGCCAAGCGATTCTTCCATCTCCAGGGGCGACATCGGCGGCGGTGGCGGCGGCGCTCACCATTAGAGTCCAGCTGGTCAGGGTTGGCCACGAGGCGGCAGTTGTCCTTGTCGTCGGGAATGCCATCATTGTCGTCGTCGTGGTCGCAGGCGTCCCCTTTGCCGTCGCCGTCGTGGTCGGCCTGGTTCGAGTTGGGGATGTACGGGCAGTTGTCCAGGTTGTTCTGGTGGCCGTCCTCGTCGATGTCCTCGTTGCTGTCGCACGTGTCGCCCACCAGGTCCGAGTCGGCGTCGGACTGGGGTCACGGGGTCAATGGGGCAGGGTGAGGGAAGGGAAACGTTAGCATTTGTATTCACGGTGGCCTCAAATCTGAATTTTCGAACTAATGCAAAGTCGATCAATTAATGAAAAGGTACGGTTTGTTTAAGAGTAAAATTACACGTGATCCATTTACCACAAGGTTGCTTTAGATCTATTCTTTAAATTATCTTAACCACATGCAGCAGCATATTCAACTGCAGTGTGCCAATATCTTCATGATCATCCATGATCAATCCACGACTGGATTAAAGCCTCACCAAGGTCATCTCCCAGCAGTGGCTTGACAAAACGTCCGTGCAGAATACACGTCGCTACCAGGCGATGAACTGAGAGGTGTGTTCACCTGGTCTGGGTTGTGTTGTAGAGGGCAGTTGTCGCACTGGTCACCGACTCCATCAAGGTCAGTGTCGCGCTGGTCGGCATTGTACACGTAGGGGCAGTTGTCGATTTCATTGAGAATGTCTGGAAGAAAGAGTAATTGAACAATTCAGTTATTAAGCATTCCAATCGGTGGAAAACACATTTCTGTTTTAAGCACTTTGCGTGGTTGTGTGTGACGTAGGCATACTGAGTAACGGCGTATGAAATGTCAGGAAAATGGAATTTGACTCATCTACGAGGTTTCACAATGCAGTAATGGCATGCTCAGACACGGAGTGATTAGTGATCGCCTTCAGCAAACTTCCGCACCCAGCTATGCCGTGACACTTGATGCGTGCCTTTTTTTAAATCCCGCCTGAAAGAAAACCCCATCCCCGTGTATGCGGGCGCCCCGTGAAAAATAATTACACCCCCCCCCACCTCCCCACCGCCAATTGCGTGTTGAGAGAGCGTGAAGTCGTAAAAGTGTCGCTTTCATAATTTGTCGGTTGCAGGCGAACGCGGCGGAGATTTACGTGCCGTTGCTTAGTGCCGCCCCCCCCCCCATGTCAAAATATCCACGGGCCGAAAGCGTGAGGCCACGGGGAAGTCGCCGCCACTTTACCGTCGCCATCGATGTCCGGAGAGCAGGCGTCGCCGGTGCCGTTGCCGTCCGTGTCGGCCTGGTCCGTGTTGTGGTCGTAGGGGCAGTTATCACAGCGGTCGCCGACGTTGTCTCTGTCGTAGTCGTATTGCCGCGGGTTGAACACCATGGGGCAGTTGTCCTGTGGCAGAGCGAGCGACTCGGGCGTTAATGAGTGAACCGGCCGCTGTGCAGAAGACGGCCGCCGGCCAGTGACCTCGCTTGGCGAAGGTTGCTTTGAGTTCACAGCCGCATTGTGTTAAAGCTGCCTATGGTGTTAATTACAAGATGGTTTTAAAGACTAATAACGGAGTGGCAGCCAAGGAATGGAATGCGTCTACCCTGGACGGCTGCCGAGGAGATGGAGTTGTGAAATCAGCTCGTGCGCAGATGTTAGGTGGATTGTTGCATCTCGGGATGGTGAGACATGGTGGCGGCTTGGCAAGGCTTTTGTCCAGCAGTGGATTGAGTTACGTTGTTGTTGGTGGCAACAATAATTGGATGTGCGTGGACAGGACGGCCGAGCTGAGTTCATCACAAGGACTTGTATCAAGAGCGCTTACCCCATCGTCGGTAATCCCGTCGTTATCATCGTCGTCATCACAAGCATCTCCAACGCCATCCTTGTCGTAGTCCTCTTGGCCAGAGTTGGGTAGGTTGGGACAATTGTCCTGTTGGCAAAAAAAGTGAATTTATTTGCCGGCAAATATAAGCAAGAAGTCCATTCTGTGTCTCAACATTTTTGTTTAATGTCATCCTATCGGCTCTCCAGCCCTCTCTTATCAAGTAGCATTTGGCGAAAGCAAGCAAATTCTGGATCAGTTTTGACCTTCTGGGTCTCGATCAGAAGAGGTAGGCTTTGTTAAACAAATGCTGCTGGGCTACTATGTGGTATTGGCAAGATCACTCCCGGTCAGGTTGCAAAAAAATATATGTCTACATAGATCATATTCAGTTCAGTCAAGGATTGATTCAAAACTCCAATTCAATAGATTATTACATTGCCCCCATCAAATTGAATGCTTACGCTGTTAAATAAAATGTCTTGTGTGGATTTAAAAGTTCTCATTAATATTGCAGTAATGTAAATACCACAACATTTGAGATATTAATGTCCCTGTGAAATTAGCAATGGCAATTTGTCATAAATTGTAATTATGTTGATGGGTACAATAATGTTTAATGCAGCTCAGCATGTTTGCACTTGACGACATTAGTTAGACTGCACATGTTCTAACCTCTGCCAAGCATCAAGCAGGTCTGATCTGGACCGAGGTGCAGACAGGGAGGTCGTAAGCCTGAAATTATAGCTTATTTCAAGGCAGTTTCACCCACATTCCATGCGTGCCTTGGGCTCCTTGTTGTGTACTATGTGCTTGCCTGCTTCAGGAAGTCCTTGCGGACAGCACCAATGAGGGCACTTAAAGCCAGCAACTGGACTCTCAGGGCTGAGTGGTTGCCAGATTACAGTGGCAGAGAGTGTTTTCCATCCCTCAGCTACTTGCCTATTAGCATAATGTATTTGTCTGGTAGTTAAAGAGTCAAATCCGCCTATCAATAGCATCTTAAAGGTAAAGGTGCAGCCCTGCAATTGCTTGCTGATGCCACTGCTAATAGAATGACCTTAACAAGAAGGAGCGCGAGACAGCCCCTTTAGAGCGTATTTGGCCGACTCGTTTATGACCATTATCGTGTGCTTAGGCGCAATTATCAAAAGGAAGTGTTTAAAAATGTATATTAATTTTAACGGTTCAACAAACTTTATGCTTTATGTCATAATGCCCCACTTTGGTGAACTATCAGGTTTTTTTTTTAATTAAACTTCTTTCACACCGTACATAGCCAACCGTGTTAATTGGAGGTGCGGGAAATGTGGATAACTCAACCCTCATTGTAATCTGATTTTAATTGTAATTACATTGGATGTTTTTAACGTTGGATTTGGCTGAAGTACATCATCTTTTCCATATCTTCAATCTCATAATTATTTTTGGACATTTTTTTCAAAACCGTATATATATTTTTTTATTTCATACAGACAAATAAGCAAGCCTCGAACCAAGACAGCTGGATCTGTTCTGATAATTCATTTTGCCTGTGATCCATATCGCAGTGACATTTTAACACTGAGGTCATGTTTCAAAAAGACACCACCAAACTCCACCCTTATTAAACAGGCTGACTTTTATAGCTTACTTCGGGGGTTTAACTTAAGCCACCTTTTAATTGTGTAAGAAAGAAATCACCCCTCCTTTTCCCTTTGTGTTGAAAGAGAGAGTGGATCACACAATAATTCGATTTCTGTGGTGAGCGCAATATTATTTTAAGTGTTTGCTTTCTTTAAAATGTTTATCACGTAAATTAATTGGTTGTACGTACAAGTTAATGAGCCTGTATGAAGAATGTTTTCTTGAAAATGAGGCCAATTTTTTTCATATATACAACAAATAACATGTGAAAAACGTATCTTATCATTCTTGAAATCATGCATTATTCGTTTAACAGGGCTTTGTATAATGCAACTTCACTTTATTTTTTAATATAGTAGTTTTTTACCTTTGTGCTGCCCAACACTAACAAATCGTTATTATCAACCTTCATCTTAACCGGCTCAATCCAGACCGCCCAGGAATTCAATCACAGAGATCCATTTATTACATTCTTCGAGCAGCAGGGAGCCCAATTCCAAAAGAAAACATTACAGTAGCGTTTGGCAGCGAGCTGCACTGCCGCCACAAGTGTTGACGCTGGGCAGACGGGAGAGCACATTAAAGAGCTGTATCGCGTTACCCCTCGGCCAGAGGCAGTGAGTGGCGGGGCGCTCACTCGCTGCTCTCTCGGCACCCGGTCCAGCGCGAATGAAACATGTGTTGGGGCCTCAAAAGGCATTTAGCGACTATTTCATTTCGCACGTCTGTTACGTGAGATGCGGGAGGGTTACACAAGAGTGGCTGGATGGGATCGGATCTGAGGCGGGGAGGGGGATGCGAAGATGCCGCTTTTGATGAGCCGCCAAAGTCTGTCGCCGAGCTCCATGAGAAAGTGGCCCCCGTCCCATCGGCAACTCGCGATGGGCGATGAAAGTGCGGCCACCTAAAGTGGCTGCCCCATCAACAGGACAAATGCTTAATCTGAAAGGTGTTTTCTTCCCCTCCACTAGACTTCAAACAGCTCACTACTTGCCATTTTTTTTAGACTTCAAAAAGGACGGATATTTTTACTTGACGATTTCTTCTTGGGTTTGTCCTTACGATAAATTGAATCAAAATGTGCCCGAGATGAATGAACTGCTGATTTTTTTTTCTGCTGACTGACTTCATTACGTATGAATCGCATTTTTAGTTTTCATTACTATTATGCGTGTAGTTGTACAATTGCTTTGGGTCAATTTCCCACGGAACACACTTTTATAATGTCATACGCATAGCCATTCATGGCGTTGGTGGTAGTGTGTTGTGATAAGAGGTCAAATCAAATGCTAAACAATAACAATTTTATTTACAGCAATTCGCAAAGGTATCCAAATATTAAAGTTCACCTTCCTGTCCTGCTGCCACCTACCTACATTGCCATGTGGCCCCATTTCACCAGTCGGACCACACTCCCCAAAATCAGCCTTCTTTAAGCCTTTGCATACACACACACATACCGTGTGTATATAAATAAGCATCGTTCTGGTTTTTGGCAGTTTAGCCTGTAGGGGGCTGCAACATCCTCGGCACACGGGGCGGGCTTTAAACTACGACTCGCTCCGCAAAGCGCGGCAGCCCCCCCGGAGCGCCGTTGTGTGCGCGGGGCGGTGCAGAATCGGCGCCGTACCTTGACGCAGTGGTAGGTGGTGTTGTCCAAACAGACGAGGTCCTTGTTGGGCCAGCCGTCCAAGTCGGTGTCCTCGCCGCAGATGACGCCGTTGCCCGCGTAGCCCGGGTTGCACTCGCACTTGTACATGGGGTCGCGCTGGTGGCCCAGGTAGACGCACTTGGAGTTCTTGTGGCACTTGTGGGTGCCGTCCTTGCACGGGTTCTGCGGCTCGCACACCTGAGGGAGTCCAGCGGGGGGTGATGGTTAGGGTTTCATTCCGCTCACAGGTTGTCGGCTGTTCACTGACTGCTATTTAGGCGTGCATCGATTCACCATCTCCCAGTGATTGTCTCGTTTTTCTTTCCTCTTGTTACATTGTTTATTGGGGTTTTTTCAGTCTCGTTTGTTCGACCGTTACATGAAATTATCCTAAATGTAACGTTGCCATGTAATTTTCACGTAATTCGAGCAGGTTTGCAAAATAGTATTTTCTCAGGCGCATTATTCGATGCGTGCGTCGTGAGCGTAAGAACTAATTGTAATCCATTAATCCATTGATGCATCGTTGCATGCGGCGTGCGGGAAGGGCAGGAGAGGGAAAGTGGGGTTTATGATCGATTGGGAGTAAACACCGCAGGTGGAACAAGCTTGTTTCCTGATGCAATTAAACCTGCGGCCTTTTTGGCATTCATTGTCGGTGGGTGGTGTAATTCGCAGGGGATTTGCATAATCGCCTGCAGAATAATGTCGGTCATTGTAGTAAACTTGAGCGGTTACCGCACACATTTATATATTTATTTACCTGCTTAGAAAGCTTGGCGTCCTCGAGCCCGATCCCGTACGGCAGGTTGCCCGAGAACCGCGGGGGGCACGGCATGCAGCGGAAACCCGGGGCCTCGTTAACGCAGCGGTCATCACGGAAGCACATTCCGGACACCACCTCGCACTGCCAGACAAAAACAACATTCTGGTTACACAGGGCGCAAAGGTTTCCGTCCGAGTGTTGCGATTACGTTCGATTTGCAGCCAGCAAACTACAGCCGTAACTCGACGTGAGTATGTGTATATGTCTATAAAACATGTCTATGCAAATCTTTATGGATGTTAACTAATATTTGAATGAAGTAGTTAATTAAGCCGGTCACCTCGTTGATGTCAGAGCACTCGATCCCATTTCCTTGATAGCCTTTGGGACAAGCCCCACACTTCCACGTGCCATCTGCAAAACTGTTGCACTTTGCTCCAGCAAAGCAAGGGTTGGATAAGCACCCGTCTGGGGAAACAAAACAGATGTCTTGCAGTCTGTTTCCACACGTCAGCTGTGCAACAGCAATAATGCGACGGAATGTTCATTGTTTTTTTCTGAAAACGGATTGAAGTACCACGCCTTGAACCGTTGGCATATTTCCTCGCTTCACAAATTGTTGCCTCTTGCAAGGGAATTTGTAATTCATTATGTTGACGTGTTTTGATCTTTTTAAAACGTAGGCTTTTGCGACGTATTATTAATAATTACGTTTTTTGGGTTAGATTGCGTTATTACACATTTATAATAACGCGATCTAACCCAAAAACCTTGATTATAAAGTGTTCTGATCTTGCCATTGGAAACCTATCATAAAAATGCAATTATTATATCACCAGCAATGCCATGTGCAATAAACATTTTGATGAATAACTGAAACAACTCAGAGATGAATTGGTAGTTATGGTGGCACCTGGGGAGCCGCATCAATTGGGGATTTTTTTCCTTGTCGTTAGTTGCAATTGAACGAATACACAAAGAGAATAGCAAATGAACGAGTGGATGGACGACGGATGGATGGGTCGAGAGCCGTACCAACGGGGCAAGGTTTCTTGTTGCAGATCTCGGTCTCGCGCTCGGACCCCAGGCAGTCCTTGCCGTTGTACTGCGGCTTGGGGTTGTTACAGAGGCGCGCCCGCTCACGGAGGGCCCCGCCGCACGTCACGGGACAGGCCGACCATGGAGACCAAGGCCCGTACTGCCCATCCACTGTGGGTGGAGCGAGAGGAGACATAGAGATAGGGGGGTTGAAAAAACATTCTTGCATCGGCATGGGTTACATTAAAACGCTTTCTCGAGAAATGCTTGTTCTCGGAAGTATTTAAGTCGCGGTATGGATATCTTTCAGGGCAAAATGGGTTTCCTTATTAGCAAGCGTGCATTGTTTTGCTCTGGTTCGTGTCTCGAAGTTTTGGGCAACCCTTTGATCAATTTGGCCGGTTTTCAAAAAGGTAAGTCGCTAACAGCAACACGACTTGTGGTTTTGTTCGCATTGAACCATCTCTCCGAGAGTTACAGGAATCCCCTGGTACAGGCAGACAAAACGCATTAACTTTCTTCAACATTATTTGAAAAGCATCCCAAAAAAAATAACCTGTAAAAACAAAGTTTTTCACTATAAATCCTTTATATGCGTGGCGGCTAGAGTCCTCTCGTCCTCTGGCTTGAGATGGCTGCCACCTATAGGTCAGATGATTGCATGGCAGCATTAAGCAATTGGTAATTAAATATAATATTTTTGTCCTAAAAAGTGTAAAATTTTGGGAAAAAAATTTCACGAAAAGTAATTGTCACGCACAACGAGTCTGTGTGGAAAATGTCAGCTCGATTGGATCACGGGAAGTGGGTTAAATAACGACGGAAAGATTTGCACGGTCGTAAGCAAGCAAGCAAGCGCGCAAGTGAACTTAATATAAAGGATTTAAACAAACACTCACGGTGGAACCTCCATTGCATTTCAATTCGCGTGCTTGAGACAAGACTCCTCCCCCAGCACGTGCAGATAATTTACGAGGCCTCCAAGAGAAGGATTGAGTGTCCCTATGAAACCCCGTTATGAAGTGCCGTTGAGTGTGTGCGAGTTTGTCTTGACATTCTAAACCCCGCTTGTAATGTTTATAAAAGCTATTAACGGTTCATTGTAGCTCAGGCCTTTAAGGGCTCCGCACCTAATCACGACAAACGTGAGACAGAGAAACCTGCCTTGTCTCGGGCAAAGATTACACGTGTTCTCATTGGAAACAGATGCTCGTGTCGTGTTCAATCGTGCACCATTTCACAGCAGAGGTGGACTAAGCAGAGCACTGGAAGTTGTAATTACGTGTATTACCACAGCATTTAAGGAAATAGTCACATATTTGTGAAAGGGGACATTGTGTGAACACTCGTTATGTGTGCTGTCGTAAAGCATCGTGGGTAACAGAGTAAACGAGCAGACTTTCCGTTATATACACAGTATCTCCAATAAAAAAAATAGAAAGTATGTTTTTATTCCATTAGCCTGTGAACCTTCTGGACCAATACTTTACAGCAGCATTTGTTTAAGCAAGAAAACTGTGGACCAGTTTCAACCTCCTTGGTCTAGTTAGCAGAGTCAGGCTTGCTTCAACAAAGGCTACTGGATAGCATTGGAAAGTCTGTAGACTGATTGACACCTTATGCTGCACAAGGACAGCTGCCACTGGGGGTCCCCTTGGGCTAGACTGCAGCAGGGCATTAAAGTGGCTCATGTGCACCCTCCAGATGCAAATCCTTACTGTCGCCTAAAACCAGTGTGATATGGTCAATGCTGTGCGCTTTCAGATGGATGTTGAACTTCTTTCACACCGTACATAGCCAACCGTGCTAGTTAGGAGGTGCGGGGTAAGTACAACAAACTAAACACTACAAGCTGTTCTAATAAAATTAGTTTTCAATGTAGATGATTTAAAAGTGCGGGGCTTCAGTGGCTTCCTAATATCAGAAGCAAGAGCGTTCCAGACGGCCGCAGAAGCGCATCTGGAAGCGCGCGATGCAGTGACCGTATGTGTTCGACGGCTAGTCAAAACCCGCTGCTGCGAGGATGACCAGAGTGTTGTGCGATGGCTTTCGCTGCTTTACGAAATCGACAAGGCGTCGTGGTTCATTTGAGGGGAGCACTCCGTGCGTTATGAAGAGAACAAACTTAACACAACAACAACAAGAAGCAGACAACGGCAGGAGACGTCGGCTCCGCACGCTCACCGGGGCAGGGCTCCATCTCGCACTTCTGGTTCTCGCGGCCCGAGCCGCCACACTCGTCGCCACCCATCTGCGGCACGGGCGAGTTGCAGAGCCGGATGCGCGTGTTCACTCCGGCGCCGCACGTCACCGAGCACGACGACCAGGGCGACCAGAAGCTCCAGCCGCCGTCCTGACGGACTGCAAACAAGCAAACAGCGAGCGGCACATTCCCTGTCAGTGCCCACTCCGTGTTCCTCTTATTATCATCATCGTCGTCGGCATCAACATCTGCACCTCTGATGAGCACGGTTGGATACGTACGGTGCGAAAGAAATGAACATCAACCGCGGATGAAGGTCTTTCCACAGTACATCATCGTTTCTCATGGCCCTGTGATGCGGCGATCTGTATGACACTTTTAAATTAAATTTGCTCCTTTGCAGGCACGTTCCCTTCATTAGCCGCCGTATTGACGCACTCCAAAGTGACTGGTCTGATGTGGCCTAAACGTTCCATTAAACGAGTCTGAGGTGAGGCTGTTTGTTGCAGGCACAGATGATCTGTCATCCTCCTAAACCCTCCACTCGTCTCACGCCCCCCGCCAGTCAATCTCACACTACCGAATGGCAACTCGCGTGCGCTGCCAACGTACCAGCCAAAACGATCAGTCCGACGCAGGCGAATGCCATCGGTTTTCGATGCCGTACCTCGTTTGTCGCAGGCCTTGAGCTGGCAGGTGCGGCCCTGGATGGAGGGTCCCTCGCAGGGGTTGTTGACGCTGTCGCAGGAGCGGCCTCGCTGCTGCGTGCCCGATCCGCAGGTCACGGAGCACTCGGTCCACTCGGACCAGGGCGACCAGCCGGCCTCGCTGTCGCCCACTGCACGCGATGGCGGAGAGCAACACGAGTTACAGAGGGGTGAGCTGAGTGGTGCCTGGGGTGGCTCCGGTATTGGGGCCGTGAGTCTACATTGCTTGCATCCTAGGTTCCGGTCTGGGCGCTCGACTGACTGTGATGAAACTGGGTTCTCAAGTGCGGAGGTTGTGTCGGTTCCAGATTGGCCACCGCGCACCGTCGTTGCGTTTTATCGGTTTTCATTTGCTGTAGTCTGTGGCTACATGGCGGTTCTTAATTGTTGTTATTGGTTTCACAGACGTGCGGCACATATTTTTGTTCATAACCGGGCATTGGGGCAAGTGCCCCCCCCCCCCCCCCCACTAGTGTGTGGATAAAAAGCCACTGTAACCCGATGTTATGGGCAAGAGGTCACCCACCAACACCCTGTGGCTGAAAAAGTACGCGATGTTACAGTTTACCAACAACATCGTCGTTATATAGTTTGGCAATGACCCAAATTAATTTCCTGTTGATGGAACAATTGTCTAATAACTTGTCTTCTCCCGAGTATTTTATGTTTTGCTTGCAAGGCTAAGAGACGGTAATTATCTGTAAGCTGTGGTGCACTAAACATTAATGATGGCAAGCGCTCGTTAAGGGTGGCATCAGCACCCAAAGGAGATTTACAATCGGGAGAACACTCCTCTGTTTTCCACATCCTCATTAAAATCTGGAGTGAATGCTAAGAAGATTATCGGACCATTTCCATAGCTACTTGCTTAAATGAAACTGCTTACTCTCTCATTGGGGTTGTGCACAAGGAAACATGGGTGCAATATCCATCATTAAAATATCTGGCATGTCAGTTGACATCTCGCTTATTTCAAAGCTCACAGTGACCCTTTTTTTGTTAATGATGACTGCCATTAAAGGCTTAGTGTTAGCACGTTGCTCTTCGACTAATCCTTAGCCCACATGGTTTTGCTTAAAGACATAAACTGATGTGATTAGCGTTGGCAAGCAATCATAATTTTGGTAACGGATTTGGCAAATAGAAGGGGGTTGGGGGGGTCTATATGTTGCAAGGTCGCCACTGGCATACAAAGGCATTGCATTTGGTGTCTAATTTCATTAGCTTTAGAAAACTAGTGGGGGATCAACGTCTTATAAAAAAATAAGTATGTCGCTACCAATTATTTTTTTTGTAATGTCTGAACAGCATAAAGTTTTTCTTCGCTGCTTTGGGTCTGTGGGCAGGTTGGGGTGGAATAAGTCATCTTAGCATATTTGGGTGTCATATGTTACTGCCCCATCGATTAGAAGTCTTGGCACAGAGACCATTCATCTCCGCTGTTGTGGGCCTATAATCAATGGCACCATATTTATAGCTGCTATTTTTTTTACAGCCAAGGGTCAGCTGTCAAAATAACCCAGCAGGGGGAAGAGGAGCCTGCAGGCAAAGGTCGTGCTGCCAAATTTATTGTCAGCTTTTAAATGAGGTTCTGCAATCAAGGCCACAATAAAAATCTGTATGCACACCCTTTTTAAAGTTATGCTACCTACATACTCATCATCGTCATCACCATCAATCTCTTAACTTCATTTGGTTGTGGGTGTGCCACTTAAACATTGCCTGTCAACTCTCTCCATGTTTACCTGCACTTGAGAGTCTTTTTTAGGTGTCATGCCACTGCATCATTAGTCCGTGTTATCACCACATTTGTCATCCGAATAATCTCAGGTTGTCCTCTTTTTTATCATTCTACCTTGTCCTGTAAGACGGTGATGATGATGGAAAATCCACCCAAATCGTTGCAGTTTCCTTGATTCACTTTGGGCATCAATGTTCTCCCACTTTTGTCTGCTCCTCTCTCTCTCTGTATTGGTGTTTCACTGCCATTGATAGTGTTGTCTCCGCAGCATGGAACACATAAGGGGGCATCATCACAGAGATACACTCCGCTCCTACCTGACGCCACAATGTGGCTCAGCCACCTCAGTGTGGACAGTTCTAGCTGTTGCTCTACATCGACATGATCGAGCCATACGAGCTAGGAGAAGATTGTGAGGATGAGGTGCCGGGCGTGCGTGCGTGGGTGCGTGGGTGCGTGCGTGGGTGCGTGGGTGCGTGCGTGCGCGTGAGAGAGTGTGCGACGTACGCAGGCACGTCGGGCAGCACTCTCCCTCAGGGACGTGAGGAGTTGCGCAAGTGACGGGAGGGCACGTGATCTGCCGGCAGTGCGTTTTGGAATCCTGCAGACGAAACCAAACAAGGAAACCGGGAGGTCAGATAATGATCATAATAATTATTCATTCAACTTGTAACGGCCATTGAGTTTGCAGGACCACCGGAAAGTATGAAAGCTTGGGGGAGGCATTCATCCAACAGTGGAGAGATCATTGCTGATAATGTGATAATATTATACTTATAATGTATATGCTTGCGTGTGGTGTTGTATATGCACGTATATATATAACGGGAAAGGTGAGCTGGAATTTGCAGAAATAAAAAAATTACAATACATTGTAAATTTTGAAAAATCAAACACTTGACCGCACACTAGACATAGTAATAAGATAGAGTATAAAACACTGCCGCATTTCTGGATTTGATGAAAGCTGATTTTTTCACAGCGTGAAGCCTCTGCAAACCTGATGCAGACAGTGAAATACATTTATCGTGGCTGATCGGGCTTTCGCTTGTGAATGAGTGTATTTATAACTGCGGTTAACATCGCGACGTTGAGCCTGTGACCACCGCAGGGAAATGGGGAATTTTGATGTGGCAGACTCCCCCCCCCCCCCCCCACCGAAATTTCATTTTGCCGCCTAATGCTCAAAAGGCCCTCTGTTGAGTTCGTGGCTTTAAGTTTTCCTGGCTTGGAATGCCATAAGCGTGGCAGGAATGTGCAAAGAGGGGAAGAAAAATAAAAAAAACAGCATGACACTCATCCTTTTTATGAATATGGGCTGATGGTCCCGGAAAGTAGTGAAATATATGAGTTGCATGTGGTGGATTCATGCTGTCTGCTTCTTATTTTTTTCCAATGTTATGTATGCATTCATTCAGCCATATCAAATGTTTTTTTTTTTAGCAAGTCACGCCGATGTGTTTTTATTATTGAGTTGGGTCCCTGATTTTATATCAACCTCGATGAATAGCATTCATGGTATAAATAAATGTGGGCTAACAACAACACAGCTATGCTCAATTAAAAAGGAACAAACTAATTAATTAACATTTAACTGCTTAACTGCTCTTACTCGTACTTTTAGAACATTGAAGAGGCAATGGTGAATATGAAGCAACAAAAACAAAAAATTCAGGAGTTATATAATCTTTGAAATCAGTTTTGATCAAAATGTAATTCCTTGGCCAAACCACAGCCTCCGCAGGGAAAAGTTAGCAAATCAACATTGTCTCTGGCTTGCTGTGTATGGAAAGTGCCTTTCCAGCCTCAACACTGAAACTGAGCTTAAGCTGCAGCTAATGAGCACCTGTAAAACTCATGCTGCTTGTAATATGTTCCTGGCTTGCAAATGCGTATTGCTTTATGAACGAAAAAAGCTAAAGGTGCAGCCCTGCAGTTGCTTGCTCATTCCACTGCTGAAGGAAGGGCCTCAACGGGAGGGAGTTCTAGAAAACTCCTCTGGAGAGCATTTGGCCTACTATTCTATGCTTGCCAGATATCTTTTAAGCGGTTTGCTAGCAGTACTCCAAAGCAAAATGTGCATGCATCACTGCATGCTTTCAGTTCTAAATTAATGTACATAAATTGTAGCCTGCTTTATATTTCTCTCTGAACGAACTTGTGACGGCAGCGTATTCTGCTGACGCTGCGCTATGCACACATAATGGTCTCTTGGCTGAAGTCCAACAGAAATAACAATCGGGGCCACTTGCTATGTTGGAAATCTTAAGGGAGAAGAATCATCACGCAGATGTAAAGTGCGATGCCTTAACCGGTGTCGCCGGCCAATATTGGCATAAAAATGTCCCACCTTCATTTCCGATCCACACTTAAGCCACGGATGATTTTTTTTTTAGATTCACACTAAGGTTCGCATTAAGTCCTGAGAGCAGGGCTAGACTTGCCGCAGTCAAAGCCACATTCAGTCCTCGTTCTTGGCCGCCACAGACCCTTCATACCAAAGCTCCGAAAAACAGAAGGAAATGGCACTCCTTTGAGAAAAGGCGTAGAGAATTGTGAAGAGTGCCGATGAAAGCCCGCCAGCCAAAAGTGACCGCTGCTGCCTTCCTCGGCCTTGTGTGTGCACGTTGCTTACGAAACGTAAAAAAATGGTGAAGAGTTGTGAAGAGAGCTGCTTAAAATGGGTTACCCAAATTGGGTTACTCAAGTATTATCTTGGTTTTCTATTCCCCCCCCCCACACCTCTCCCCGGCCACCCCCACTCTTAAAATTTCACTTTGATAGTTTTGTTCAAGTGACAAAGCCACCATTCATTAAATTAAAAAAAATATGCCACTATAAAGTCTGCGAATTGTAATTTTCATTACCTGATTTCCATTCCATTTTGATCGGGTGGCGTAATGTACGGAAGAAAAGACCCTCACCGACTTGAAAGACATGATTAACGGCAGCTTGGCTTTTTTAGCTTAAAATAATTATATGGTTTACCCTTGTAACTGCTTTCCCTTTACAAACTTGGCCAGTGTACTACTGCGTCAACGATTTACAGCATGTGATGTTCATGAACTGAATCCCAGCAACAGCACCAGGTCTTGCTTTCAAGCTTCTGGCAAATGTTAAATCTCATATGTTACAATCACTGGCACATTGGAGACTCGTATAATTAATTGTAACAACTATTGCTCAAAGTTTGCCGTAAATAAAACTCGGAGGATAAATGTGTTGGAGGCCTGTCTATCATTGCGTGCCGTGACACATTGCATTTGGAAGAAAAATGCTCAAAATATTTTTGCCAAACCCGTTGCGCAATATTAAACTCAAACTACAAATGTGCAAGCGCTTCTGCCGAAATGGATATTTCCCGAAATGTCTGGTAGCAATTATATGTGGTCTCAGCCTATCTACCAGCCCTGCCAATGGGTCCAACGCAAAATCTGCCGGAGTGACGGAGCAGGCGGGGACACACTGACGGCACAGCAAAGCAGGCTGCTGGTACACAGAGTACTTGTTTGAAGACTTTTCCGATTTTACAAAAATCCTCAAGACTTTGTGCCATCATCAAGCGCTGCTGCACACCGATGCTCAGAAATTGTTTACTAGATTTACAAAAGCCAGTGTTGTGGGTACTGATGTAATAGCGTACACATTAACCTATTTGTTTTGTTTTTAAACATCACTAGGCTGATGGGGAAATAGCAGCTTGTGTCAAGACATGTGCTCTGGATGCAGCTTATTTCTCATATCTTGCACAGCTCAGGAATGTTTGGTGGCCGTGTGAATAGACTTGGTGCACTTATGTATCTTTGCGCACGTATGTGTACAGCCCTAATATATCAATCCACTGCTGGATGATGTGAGGTGCCTCCCCAAGTCGTGCTGGTTGTGGGGGTTACTAGACCATACCTCACCACGTTGGTCAGTGTGATTCTCGCTCACAGCCACTACACATTGACGATTATTTCAACCGGTACTGGGCCTCCCCAGTACCGGTTCAATGCGGTGTTTAAACATCGCCACTGGAGAGGCAAATGTGGCCGGGCGTGGTGCCATCCACCCACCCCCGTGTGTGCCACATTCCCGGCCTTCATAGGTGCTCGCCAACAGTTTTTTTTGAAGCTATACAGGGGGCCTTTGTGTGCGTGCGTGCTTCTACACACCCGGCAGGTGCAGGTGGTGCAGCTGTTGATGGTCCACTCGGTGTGGTTGTCGTAGAGTCGCCCCTCGTACAGGCACTTTCCCTTCTCCTGGATGTCCATGGTGTTCTTCAGGTTCTCGTTCTCCTCTTTCTGTGCATGGACAGAGCACAGCAGGGCACGGACCATCAGTTCATTGCGCCACACATAGGCCAACGGTAGAGGGAATAGAGACGTGTGTGGAATGTGGTGTCTGTGCGTGTTTGTATGTACGTATGTATGTATACGCCAGTATATTTGAAAGGTATTGGGAATTGAGTGTGTAACACCACAATACACATTATATTATTATTACTACTGCATAATTACTCTATGGGAAAGCGTTTATACAATGCATCATAACTAATGACTACTTGAATATGCAAGCTGGCGATTCCAATGCCATTCCCAGTGACTCTGCCTCTCGCAAACCAATCCAATAGAATACCTAACCCTAATCCCCCCCAGCCTGTCTCGATTGCCCTTTCAATACTTGCACCAGGGGTCCCTTGCGAACAAACTTATCGAAAAAATTAAATTTAGGGGTCAGGTTTGGAGAGTTGGGAGGGAGGGCAGTGGAGGAGTTGGCACGCTACATTGCGCACTCAGCTACCCAAGTTCGATTCCCGCTCACGGCTAACACCAGCAACAATTATTTGAGCCTCCCCTACGTCGACTTAGCCTCAAATGAGTACCTGGTGCGGCGTGTAAATTCATCGCGGTGTTGGCCACCCACCCGTTCGTGCACCGTGCCTAAACAGCACTTGTCCAAACAGTCTGTTGAGGCTATACGGGGGATCTTTTTCTCTATTTTGGAGGGGGGGGGGGGTGAGCAGGATTTTGTAACACTCACCAGCTTTTGGAGGCCGTCCACCAAGTACGTGACCGTGCTGCGCAGAGCCTTGACCTCATTGTAAATCCTCTTGACCTCGTTGCAGGAGATGCCACAGAATTCCATCACCTTGTTCACCTTGTGCCCCGTGTAGTCCGTCTTGATGGCAGGCGTCCCAAGGAAACCGCCGCCTAATTTTTTGGCACGCGCGAGAAAAAAGAAACCCAACGGCACCCCCCGGCGCGCACGGCAGGTGTTTGTTTAGCGTGGGCAGCCAAGTCTAGCAGGACTCTGTGCAACGTGATTTCATATTGCTTGTACTATTCATTGCTTCAAATAAAAACATCGTCAGTAAAGTGAAATGCATGCTGTTTTTTTAATATAAAGTTATTTTTTTTTCGACGTTTATTAAATTCGGATGGTTTGCATTTGAAGCAGAGTATTTGCATATCTTGCATTGGTGCAAAAAAAAATACACGCTGCAAGGATTTTATTTTATTTAGTTTTAAATTAAGACCGCATGCACTAAATAAAATGGCGCTTCCTGGCGCTATTTGTTAAAATTTTATTTCTACTTTTCGTCCAGTCATAAGTGCAATTATTTTTCGTTGTTGTATTTTACAAAAGTGTGGTCCGCCTGTGCTTGTAATCCGTTAGCACAACATCGCTGTCCTGAAGTGACTCAGGTGTACTACAGGCGGTTTAATACGGCAATAGCATGGCCGCACGAGGAATTCAAGCAGCCTGAAAGTGGCGGCGAGCTTCAGGCAAGCGTGCAAGCGGCTTTCAGGTGCGTGCAGCCAGAACGAGTCAACAAGCCACTTGATTGACTCGAGGTGGACCTAATACCCTTCTCCCCCATACACTAGCCCTCCACTCCTACAAACCCAGCCCAACTGAACTCAGCTCAACTCACTCTGAGCCCCATTTCCGTTGATTCCTAAGTTCGCGGAAGATAGTGTCCAAACCACAATCATCGCGGTCCACCCCAAGCTTCTGGCTTTTATTAGTCTCATCACCAATTCCACATATTCACATGTACATCATATCGCGTGCATTGTGCTCATAATATTTTGGCTGGCGGTCATAGAAAGTGGGCGAGTAGATTGGTTGTGAGTCTAGCCGCATGCCTCTGTGGCTCATGGTATGCCTGCCCTTCAAACCGCCCTCGGTGTCAGAGCAGCTATAAGCTGACAAAGCCACATCACTGACACGTCATCATTTCTGGTTACATTTACAACCCGCTGAACGGTTTTGTTATTGTTGTTGTTAATCCTGTTGTTTGACTGTGTGTGTTTTTTATTGTGATTGTAATATTTTTCGTTTTAAAAAATCATTGACCAGGGTGGAGAAATACGGTCAGATAAACCCCAGGATCCATATGGAGTGGGGAGGCCCTCGTCCAACAGGTGATTGACACAAGGGCTATATGCGTGAAATATTTCTCTCAAGCATCTGTTAAGTGTCAAACTGAATATGCCTTACGGAACAAAGCGATCCCATCCCTTAAGAAGAATTCACGGCAGTCTGTCCTAGCTTGGTTATGTCATTCTACAAGGCTGCGGGGATCTGTCGCCTGTGTCACAGGTATGCACAGACTGCATGTATAGAATTCATTGCCATATTCCAGATTTGCAATGTTTTGCAGTGTTCGCCATTCCAGCTTTGAGTTGCCTCGTGGTTTAAGCCTTTAAGCCCCACACTCTGCGAAGCCAAACTATGCTGATGAGAGTTGGAAAGTTGAAACTGGTCCAGAGTTCGCCTGCTTGTACATATGCTGCAGTAAAATAATGCTCCAAAAGCCAATAAGGTTATGAACTAAAATATTATTTTATTAAAAAACAATATTGTGGAACTGACCTTTATTATATAATCGTACTTTATTTAACTGGCAATAAAGTTATATTACATTACCAACAACTGAATACTAAAAAGTGATGTTTTTAAATATCACAGTAAAATTGAAAATTACAACATTAAAACTGTAGCATTATATATATATTTTTAAATATACATTTTACGTTTGCAGCAAACACTCAAGCCAATAAATGTATCTGGAGCAGAACTGAAGTGTTGGCTGGGCTATAGGTGGCCATCGCAAGCACGTGCCCTAGGGGACGCTGCTGAGTAGGGCGCACGGTAAGCGCGCGGCATTGATGCGTAAAGCTCTCTCTGAGCATTGGGCATCAGCAAGCAGCAGCAGCAGCAGCGTTAGAGCTTTGTTCCTTTGGTCGTAGCCAGTAACTGTGATCAGTGCGGCATAGCGACCCTGCCGATTCAAGCTCGTGGACCAACAATGAACATTCACACCGAGAGCACAATACAATAACACAACAGCCATCTCAATGGAGGCGTTCATGTGTATGTACAAAAAAGAACACTACCAAAAAGTACACTCAATTTACTAAAAAAAATCTATATTTAAGCATGATCTAAAGTTTACAACCTATTTTAACTCAAATAGGCTCATATATTTACCTGCCTTGACGTTTTTCAATGCCAAACAATGGACAAACGAATTGAAAGTTTACTGATATAGGTTTGTGCAGCGATACTCCGGTGGGATTTTAGTGACAGTGGGAGTGGAGTGTCAGTTGCCTCCACCTCACTGGCAACATATCTCACATATATAATTTTAACTCGGCAGTTAATTTATTTTTAACTCTGCAGTTTACATCAAACACTCGAGATCAACAAACAGACCTCCTCCTCGTGCTCGTGTGAAAAAATATATATGTTAGTTCGTCGGCCATATAGATCATATTTAATTACCTTTCTTGCTCCACAAAAAGCATCTTGACTTTTTTTTATACAACATTTTAAAAGTGGTTTTCCGGGGCACTAACCAGACCATAAAACCACCAACTTACTTTATCACACCCCACCTAAAACAGTATTTGTTTTTAACACTCGTGGTATGTTGATGCCACAACAGTAATTAAAGACATGAGGGAATTACTGAGTGGCTGCTGTGTGCCAGGCTGGGTGCACAGTGCCCCGCACGCGTTTCCTTACCGTCATTCCTGACGCACCCTTTGTTCCTCAGAATATCCTCCAGGGACGTGCCGAAGATGAAGCGGACGTTTTGCAGTGAGCCCTGCAGCAGTGGCAGCCAAAACAACACGAGAGGGGATCGGCAGGGAGGGAGTGGAGGGAATTGGCAGGTTAGGCTCGCATCACAGGGAGCAGAGTGAATAACGAGTCTGGTGGCCCATCCTCCATCGGCATTCATCTCATGCCGCGCGGCTCGCACTCATTCATTCACCTTCAGCCCAACCAGCCGTGAGAATGTTTACACTGTGGTGGAAAGTTAACGTCATTCGACACGAATAGCCATGGCCCCCCTAAGACGTCCCAGGTATGTTATGTTCTTTTGAAATTCACATTTCAGACGCTTACGTGTGATGCGTGCGCCCCGGGGCTATGGGAAATAAAACCACATCGCATTTTGGCCCCGTCGCGTCGGTTGTGATGTGTGATGATGTTGCTCATGCCGTTACCAATTGGCTGTGACGTTACTTGTGGTCCCCGGCTAACGACACTCACGGAGACACCCTCGACGGAAGACAACAGTTGCCCCACTCACCCTGAAGTCGTCCTTGTCGCTCACGAAGCCCTTGCCCAGGCGCAGGCGGCTGTTGTCGGGGTACAGCTGCTGGTACACGGGCCCGTCCAGGCTCAGCACGTTGATGAGCTCGCAGCCCACGTACAGCTTGGCGCTCTCGTGGTCCACGTACAGCGTGATGTTTTTCCACGCGAATGTGGCCAGGTCCACGTGCTCGAAGGAGCGCACGCTCTGCGCGTGCACCAGGTCGAGCGTGTCCGCGTGTCCGTTCGACACGATCTCGAAGAGGCGGGCCGATCCGTCGGCCGAGTCCACGGCGAGGATGGTGCCCCTGCTGCGCTTCTCTTGGCGCAGCGACGCCTGGAAGACGAAGCTCTTCTCCTGACGCATCGCCTCCAGCAGGCTCTTGAGGCTGCGCTCCTCGGCCGACGGGACACGCTCGGCCCGGATGATCTTGAACGCGGGGCTGTTGGCGTCGGGCCCCTTCACCAGCTTGACGCCGACCGTGCGCCGGGTGATTCGGCTCATGTCGAACACGTCGAACACGCCGTTGTCATCCGTGCCATAATCTACGGTTGGCGAGTTAGGGGAGGGAGCGGGGGTGGGGGGGGAGCCGACCGCATCGGGGCAATGTGAGCGCGATGCAGGTTGATGGGGAGGGAATAAATACGTGGAGGGAATAAACTAAATTATTGTTTTTATTTTACTAGATTAAGCCCAATCAGCTATTTAGCTCCTTTTCCAGAAGCGACCTGGCCACAAGTGATAGCTCAACGAAGTGGCTTATCACGTGGAAATTTATAGCAGCCAAATACTCCGAACGCACATCGATTCTAAATGTGCAGATAAAAACCGGAGGACCCGCAGAAAGATCCACGCGAGCCCGGGGCGAACACGCAAACTTTAACATACAGGCGTCAGGGTCGGGATTGAACCAGTGCCCTGCTGTATACCAGGCGAGGGAGTTAACATCTCGCCATCAATGGGTCACCCACGGGTTCCTTTTCCGCGCTCCCGCCTCCTCCAGCGCGCGCGCGCTCGCATCTCAAGTAGCAGCCGACTTGAGTCAGAGCCATCGTACCAAGGAACAACACGCGGTGGCCACAACCCGAAAACACATCGGACAGCGATTTTAGAGTGGTGATCGCTCTATTGAAACGTAAAGCAAGGATACAAGCTGTCTATCTGCAATATCTACGTTGTATTCGATACACACGATTTATTTTTGCACACACGCTGCCGCGCAACAGGTCCCGTGGTAAAACCTTGGGGTGCGAAAAAAAACAAATCCGCAGTGGCACGTACGAGATAAAAATACAGTTTTTGCCGGACGCCGCGCGCGTTTTTGAAATTCAAATGAGGCGCTTTTATTCTCGGCTCGGTAAACACGGCGGGGCTAATGGGAGCCGCGGTATTGCCAAGCCAAGGGTGCGAGAGTGGGGATTAAAAATCGGTGCCGAGCGAGAGAATTACCGTACGGATGAGCCGCGCCAACAAACGCCAACAGGATGAGCGCCCTCCACGCAGACCCCATCTTCGGTCCGGTCGCGTAACGCGAAGTCGGCGGCACGGGGAATCTAAGAGCGTGGAAGAGGACAACTCGTGATTTTCACAACAGAAGCAGGTCACAACAAACGCACACGTTGGCAAAGTTAAATAGCCGCGATGGATTTGTCCCCGTTGCCTCTTCGTGTACAATTCACGAATTGTACAGAAGGAGTGATCCACCAAAGAAATTAAATTCGGCAGAAAAATGTTGCATTATTGTACAAATGTGGCTTAAATGTAATACAAAGTGCGTGCGGCGTAAGTAAGTAACACGTACCAGGCAAAGCTTCAAAATAACTGCCGTATAAGTGTTGTTCACGAAGAGCCTCTGTAACCTATGTACCTATACGCTCTATGCGGCTAAGAGCTCTGAAGTGAGACTTCGCCACGGGAAGACTCGCTCTGCTACCAGTCTTCTACGTTGCTTCTGCGTTCGCCTCGATGTGTGCAGGTCGAAGGCGCGACAGATTTTATAGCGACTCGAGTCGCCCCCGCGTCTCACTCCGCTCCCTCCCACCGCGTGTCAGTCCCCTGCAAACACCACCCACTCTGTTGGATTCCAGCCACCCTCCCCGTCCCACTAACCCCCGTCTCCATTTGACCTCCCTCCAGCCTCCCTCCGTTCCTCCCCTCCATCCCTTCCTCCCTCCCTCCCTCCCCCACCACAACCATCAACCCTTCTCACACTCCTCTCCCCTCCCTTCCTCCCTTCCTCATCTGCCCCCTCCCCAATCTCCACCGTGCGTCCGTCCGTCTCGCTTTCCCCGCGATCTGCTGTCTGGCCTCTCTCAAAGTTTGTTGGCGAGTTGAGTAACTCTCTCGGAGACCATGCCAATCGAAACGGGAGGAAATCTCGGGCAAGTGAAGTTTAGGGGTCCCCCCCCACCGCTCCACGCCACCCCACATGGCCCCCACACGGCTGGACGCGCAGGTGTTGATGACGAGAGACGCGTGGGCTGGCTTGGATTGGCGGCGCCCGTGCGCCGTGCTTGGAATATTTGTATTTTTTTGGAAGACCAAGGAAAAAAATATTGGGGAGTGGAAAATTTATTTTTTTAGGGCGACGGCGGCCAAATCGCAATCGCTTCCTTCGCCCTCCCCCTTATTTCTTATTCTTACGAAACAGCAGGGTCGGACGGTTATGCGACGTATTTTAACACGTTAAACAAATACGACTTAAATGGGTGGCTTATTTTTAGTTTCGGTGAGTGATGATGTTTGCGGCGGGGTGCGGTAACTAAGGTAGTAAAAAATAAATTAGCACATTGCCCGGGCCGATAGGGAACGCGAGCTCGCAGTGGGGGCTAAGTTTAAACAGGATGGGCACGCATTGCAGACGCGTCGCGTCAAGTGGAGTTAAACGTACGAACAAGGTCTAGTATCACCTCGCACGTCCACTTACCACCTGGTTTTAGCGCCGGTTTAAAACAACAACCGTGGCACGCATATTGGACCCCTTCCTCCCTCCCCTCCTACCCTCTGAACGCATTTGAACCCTCGATACGGCGCTCCGAGTTGACGCAAATGGTGAGCGCGCGATGATTATGGCCAACAGGGAGTTATATTTTCAGCGGGTGATATCTGAGTCGGTACCTTCATCCAACCAGCACTGACCAGCGTGGTGAAGTATGGTCAAACAAGTTTAACACGTAGGTTTTCGCAACCGATATCATCCATAATACAGTTTTTTTTGGGGGTTAGATCGCGTAAATATAAATGTGTCGTTAAACCCACCACCATCAAACAACCCGCCTTGGGCTGAAGTGGCATAAGGAGAGTCTTCATTGCAAGATGCTTTTGCTAAATTATAAATCATAGCGTCGTCGTCTGTGCGAAATGCCGCATGTAGACTGACCAATATTTCCCAGTGTCCGCAGGTTGAACGCCATAGATTGGCTTTCTGAAAGTAAGTTGCGATGACCTAATGACGTTAATTGTTAACTAGAGAAATGCACGACGTGCCGCGATTTTAGTCAGTTAATGTTTATTGCCAAGTATGCTCGCTATGCAGCAGCTAAGTTGTTTTTTCGAACTCTGAATTGAAGGCCTCCCGCGGAGCGTGTTTCCATTCCAGGGGCCAATCTTCCCATTGAAATGCTAATTTAGCGTCGGTACACATTAAACACACCTGGTAGACCGCGACCGAAAATAAATGCCAATCTTCTCCGCGCTGTGGGGGGGGGGGGGGAGGTCCAGACTAAATGGAATTTAGCAAAACGGGGGTCTCTGTGGTGTGACTCCGTTGTCCGTGCGTGTCGGTGTTGTGCGCGCGTGAGAAGCATCAACACTTCTAGATTTGAAGCTTTCGTGACTGCAAGGATTCATATTCTTAGGTTTTTTCGGTAAAGTCACGCAGGTAAAAAATGAAAATTTAAATTAATAAAAGTAAAATAAAAATAAAATAAAAATAAATATGTTTCGGAGGCAACACAAGCTTCCGTCTTCAGGTGGAGGTTTATTATTTTATTTTTATTTTACTTTTATTAATTTTAATTTTTTTACCTACGTGACTTTACCGAAAAAAACCTAAGAATATGAATAAGCATCAACACGTCCGCGCTCCGGTGAGACAAGGGACTGAAGCCTCGTCAGGTCATTTCCCGCAGAGATTCCGAGCGAGCCCAATTCAAGGTAAAAAAAAAGGTGCAGCCCTGGCATTGCTTGCTCACACCGCTGCTGGCGAAAGGGCCTCCGCCACAGACAGAGAGAGGGAGTCTCCACCCGACAGAGAGCTTCCAGAGGCAATACCGAGGCATGCGGGATGGGTAGTTTAGGACACTTGGCCATTGTTTCAACTTCCACGTCGGAAAGAACGAACCGGCGACGACTTCTGGATTGCAAGTTCGACGCGCTAACAATTACAACCACATCAGCGTCTCGGCTTTGTAAAAAGGTCTCTGAAAATCAAAGAGCTTTGACGAATCACCCGTAATGCAGCCACTCTCGTCAGATCTCGGAAGCTAAGCGGGGTTAAGTATGGATACTGCTTGGATGGATGACCACTGTGTATAAAACACGTGTTAGTCGGCTGCTGTTGGGCTCCAGTTCAGCTAAATCAGTGATCGCACCGTGTATGCACTGTGATGACCCCACCGACGTCTGTGCGCCTCGCCTTTGGCTGATCAGCGCCATTCGAAGAGGCGCGTGTGAAATTGCCACCCACGGACCCACACGGCCTTGGGGGAAACCCTCAACGCGTCAGTAAATGCCCACGCGTAACGCGACACGCCACGTCAGCGGTTGGCGAAACACGCCAGGAGTGACCTTAAACAGCGAGGTTCCTCATATCGCGTCGTCCACAACAACCTCATCGGCGTGCGTACAATAGCGTTCGTCAGGCGTTTTCACAATAGCCGCGTTCAGTTACTGCGTCTGGCTGAACTTTGTTCAGTGTGACTTTAAAAAGGAGAGAGAAAAACACCAGTGCCCTCGTACCATGGCACCTGGCTCACTGGACAGTGACGCAGATAATGAGAATACACCATATTCCCCGTGGTCACAGAAAATAAAAATAATAATTGAGAATTATCTCAGCTTATATATATTTTTTCTGCTACATATTGTTTTGCCTTCAAATAGCTTCAGTTTGTGACATTCCTGAGAGGCCATTCGAGTTACTAATCCGCTGAACGAGACTGATCAGGGACCCGACTAAATATGTTGCATACAATGACGTCAGCCTAACAGGTTGTAAGATTTAAGGGGATACGCATGTGATTAAAACATACACACAAAAGTCACATCGATATATTTGTAATTGCCCGTGAACAGAAAAAATCGTGCCAACAAAAGAAATTGCGTATAAACAAATCAACAATCGTAAGTAACTTCTTTTTTTCCCTAAACAGAAGTTTGAGCTTTTTATTGTGTGAGGTTATGGATTATTAGCAGATGACACAACTCTACGGGAAATATTTTATGATCACGCAAGTACTGTTGACATGAAGTCACCACCATCAGCATCAGCGCCAATTTCTGGAGAGAGAAAAACACCCCGTTTTTAATAGTTCGAATAGCCACTAAATCCTATTCAACAAATTTTATGATACCTCGTTGGCAGTGGTACACGATAACAAACCACTAAACACACTCGACAAGGATTTCATTTTTATTTTTCAGGCAGTGTTTTTTGACTGTTCAATATCTCATCTCAGCACTGCATGCCAGTTGCAGTTCACGTGCGGCAAGGGTGAGATGGAATAAACTCTGGACCGCGTAGCGATGCGTTCATCGATTAGCCGATTGACCATCCATCCCTGTAGATGTTTTTTTCATTTACATTGTCAATAAACTATGTTCATATTTACGTGAATTGACTTATTTATGTTTACGTCGTTCCACTTTACTGCATCGACATACAGGCGAGAGAATAATTTATCTCGACAGGAAATTCTATCTCACGGCCTATACCGATGACGCCTCGGCAAAGAATCTCAGACAACAATCTCGAACGTTGCGCTGAAAGACGCGCGCGTGCGCGTGCGTTCGATCCGTTCCGTGTCGCTATTTACCGTGGCAGGGCCGCCGGCACTGCTGCTACACACGCGGAAAGGTGCAGGAATGCTCAGTTTGCTCACTCTTTCCGCTAAGGTTGGCGGCCGCTTCCCCGGCCACCTTTCACTGACATACCACTCCCTTTGATGATGTCCACGCGAAGCAGAAGGAGGAGGCGTCTTTCGAAGCGACGCGTAACGGGAGCCCCAGCGTGCGGTTTTTTTTATGTCGGGATGACATCACCCATTCTTGCGCGTACCTCGCACGCAGCTCAAAAGAGCAAATAGTCCGACTTAAAAACAATTTTAAGCAGAAAGACCACACGGCTTTGCGGTATATACCGGTTTCATCCTCATTAGGATTCATCAGTACCATTACAGCTATCAGTACCATTACAACACAAGCAGAAAGCTTGTGTTGCCTCCGAAACGTCGTGATTTTTATTTCATTTTTATATGATTTTACTTTAATTAATTTTAATTTTTTACCTACGTGACTTTACCGAAAAAACCTAAGAATATAAATCCTTGCAGTCACGAAAGCTTCAAATCTAGAAGCTATCATTGCCTACTGCTGACCAGTACGGCCATCATTACGTACGATTGCGCCCAAAGGACATCGCATAGCATTCACGAGCCCCCCTCCCTGAAACTCTCCCTTTTCCTCGTGCACCATATATGGAGTTGGCGCTTCCGACTTGCATGTTTGGTCTCGGCGTCTGGGCGTCTCGGGGCACGTTGCTGACGGGCAGCGAGGATGGACTGTGATGGGTGAGGTTAGGTGGGTGTTGCGTGGGTCTCGTGGCAGGTGGGGGAGGGGAGATGGGGGGGTATAGGAGGAGGGGAGGAGTGGGTCGGTGGGTGGGTGGCTGGGTTTGTCATGAGCAGTGGCGTAGAGATTGGTGACGAACCCGGGCGACCTGAGGCAGAAATTCCCGTTCACGCTTCACATCGATGGCGAA